AGTGGATTCCGCTTTGCAAGCGGACTGACCGTAATAAATTGTTTCTGCTGTTAGGGTGACGAAACGGGGCTCGTAAAGCTCGAGGACATCGCGGAGCCTATACTTTTCCATTGCGTCGACTGTTTCCGTAGACTCCGAGTCCGCTAGAGGCGCCACTGTCACGTTCGCCGCCGCTCCTATGTGTTTTCGTAGGAGTTTCCAGTATTGGCGAAGCTATATCGTATTTGATAAAGTGAATTAATACCGGAAACTAACGCGGCACATAGGAGATCGTATAAAATATATTTGAAAAACACAAAACACACACAGACACACAGACACACACACACGGACGGATGCAGGCACGTACTTAGCCGCACTCGCACGCACGTACACAAACACACATATGCTTCGAAATAACACAGAAAGAAGAAACTACTGTGTGTGTTTTTCTTTTTTTTTTGTTTACTTCAGTTTTAATAAAACACCGTGATCATTGCCAACATTTGCACTTGCTTGTCCTTGTTTACACTTTATGTAAAGATCGGTGACAACACTTTCCTGCCGAAACACTTCGTTTCATTTTGTTTGTCCTGACGCAGCCGACGCTACGCTTCACACACACACGCGCACGCACACACACACACATGCGTGCTCACACGCACGCACACGCGCACGCACACACAAACACACACGAGAGAAACAAGCGCCTTGGCTGCCTAGAACAGTACGCAAGGAATCGCTCATTCGCCTTGTACGTTTCTATACTTATCCCTGTATTTTGTGCGTTTTTATGTATATTAAAGCGCGCAGTACAAACCAGGCCCAACGGTTTGCCATTTCGCGGTGATATTGTTTTTGTTTTTTGTGCCAGCTGCATCCGCTCCAAGCCCTTTGGTTTGTGAAGCCCGATTTAGCGCATCGCTAGCAGACTGGTGCAATGACACTGTCATTTTACAGGCCACGTTGTAAATGACCTCGCAACCTGTGCGCTGGTTCAGCCGCTTCCAGTTACTGTCTGCCCTCTCTCACGAGGACCGGGTTTAATGTTTTCCGCGGCTTCTTTCCTGGGAGATAAGCGAGTGATTCGGGACCATAGACAAAGTAGATCCACGAGGCGGTAGTTGTTGGGTGTTTTTGGTCAGCTGATGCCCCTACGCCACAAGACATTTTGTTATCTTCGGAAGAAAGCTTGTGCTAACATATAAGTCATACAGCTTCCTCGGGTGCGCTCGCCTTGGTACATTTCGTCGCCGCTAGTGCTCAGAGCAGACATACGGAAGGTAAGGTTAAGGAGTGCTAAGCTTCCTATATATAGTATGTGTTGTAGATTAGGTTTGATGTTTTACGCCATAAGCATAGCGATGATTGGAATTCATTGATCAGTTTGTCTTTGTGTAGAAACGAAGAAATCATAATGAAAATAATTGGATACAGTGGCATGTTATACATTGTGTTTGATTTTAGTTCTAACAGAGTTATTAAAGAAATGCATGAAAGGTGCACGTATGTGGTCGGCGCAGGTACGTTATTCGGCGAGGGGGACATCTTATAGGGGCTAATCGTCATGATAAGCCGGATAATTACCTAAAACATGTTAATTAGCTTCGTAATTAGTGAAAATAAACTGATGGTTTTCAGTGAAAACTTTCTGAGCGTAATCAAAATTCGACTAAATCAGTAAATATTAGATGGACTGGAGGCAAGTGGGAAGCGCGGGGTGTGCTAAAGTTGCCGCTCGTGCAACCGGCACAAAGCTGGCGGTGGGAAAATGCGGATGATAACTTTATCCCCCGCGTTATGGTTCCATCCACAATTATGACCCAACTTGTTCACCTCCACACCTTCCTTAGATCCTGCAGAGCGTGCGATTTTGTGTTGCACCAGCTAAGTTGGATTAAAGCGCGAGTTACGACCAAGAGCTGCGTTTAGTGAATAATTAACCGCAGCGTTGCCAATAGTGTACGAACACAAAAATTGCACTATTTGAACGAGTTCCACGCTTTAAGAAATCTTCTGCATCTGAAATATGTGAAAAGATCTCGGCGAGTAAGAGGCTGAATGTTAGTTCAGACCTAAAACAAGTTTAGCGCCGTACCACTAAGTTGAGCATGACGCCGTGCTGAGTGTCACGATGCACATTTCTTTCTTTTTTTGCAGGTCTGGAAAAATTTTCAGCCTCGTCATTATCTTGCCGCAGATTGCAGCGATTGACTTTCTTAAGTGCTTTGCAAGAAAGTAGACGCGCTTTACTTATTAGAGTGTAACAAAGGAAAAGGCCTAACTTTTGTAGTCAATTTCGTAACTGTAACTTGAAGCGTCCAACTGTAGAACCAAGTGGACGTCCACAAGAAATTCAGAGGCTTTTAAACCATTCAAACTCCACAACTCCAACAAACAGGGCAGTTTACAACTTGTTACTTACTACCTAACTCGAAATATCACTAGTTCAGGCCTGTCCGTCAGATAAGATAAACTGCCAATATGCCGAAAATTGCCCAGTATTAGTATACACTTGTTTTCGGTGCTAAGGTTGGTAGCACTGTCTTTTGGAAGCACATAATTTTCCGGATACTATAGAAGAGATGAGTGCAATAACAAAAATCATAAACGAGATTATTAACAAGATCACAAAAGAAAATTGACACGGAACAGAAATTTATTTGAGTCAGCCAAAGAACATTTAAATCAGGTATCATACCTAGTTGTTGAACCCATCATAGGTACAAGATGTAAAGCTTTAAATACATTAATTTGGCTATCAATTATTATCCCTGCAAATGTTTATTTGACTCGTTAAAAAAAGAAATCTGCTCATTATATAACTTGTGTTAGTTCCTTTAGGAATAATAATAATAATAATAATAATAGCTTTATTTGCCATCTATAAGCATGGTGGGGGCTGAGGAAAAAAGCTGTCCAAGCAGCTTGACTGGTCCTCAGCTCCCCTCAGGTACATAAAGTGGCGAGAAAGACATTTAAAAGAACACAAGAAATTATATAATAATACAAGGTGCTTTCATCATAACAATGAACAACAGACAACTATCAGCAATACATCAAACAAGAGTAACACTTGCCTATAAAAGAAATCGGGAAATTGTACACAAGGGAAAACTATCCAAAATATTCTAAGATGCTTCTACACAATATATATATATATATATATATATATATATATATATATGAATACATATATATGCACACACACATACATACAAACACACACATCTATGCCATGCACAGGTCATACACGTACACAGGGATAGGCAGTATTTCCAATACAAGTATTTGAAATACATATTTCAAATACTTTGTGTATTTTGCATTCGTATTTAAGTACAAATTGGGTAATGTATTTGACGTGTGTATTTAAGTACTAAAATGTGGGTATTTCAAATACAATTTTGTGGGCGAAAATACATCCCTCAAATTTATTGTCACTGTCCAGAGGAGGAAGGAGACTACGTTCTGCACCGAATGCAGTCTCTCTCAATCAAGCACAAGCATTTGGTGACTTTGTGATTACAGTGCTAGTCCAGAGAAAGAATAGAGACGAAATCGACGTTCACAGGTAGACTGGCTAAATAAGTGCCTGCGACAACTTGTGATGCTTTCCAGCCTGATTTCCATCCATATTTTTGCCTGGAACATTCTAAATGCGCGGGTCCTCCAGATTTTTGTAACTGGTGCGAGTTGCAACAATAAAAAATTCTCTAGCTAATACTGCGCGTCTTGGTCGTCTCGGTTCTTTGTTGGTCTAAATCAAAATGTAATCGACAAAAAAAGATGCTTGAAGCTGTGCACTTTTTCACCTATTACGTCCAAGCTGATTACATTTTTTTGTGAATATATTTCTATTACGTTACTAGAGCCTCGCAAACCAACTCCCGAGTGCGCGATGCCAAATTAAAATGAGATACCCAGAAACCCGTTGTAGGTGCCCTGAAGTCGCTGACGCAAATTTTGAGGAATGTATTTGGAAAAGTATTTGGAGGGAGACCAAATACATTTGGTTGTATTTGTATCTTGTTTTTAAATGCTTTTTTGGAAATGTAATTAGATTTGTAATTAAATACATTTTTGACGAAGTATTTTGTATTTGTGTTTCGATACATATTTGCATGTATTTTGCCCATCCCTGCACGTACAGATATACATACATACACATAGACGTACATATATATATATATATACACCTACAATCAGACATACATATGTTTGTTTTTATGCTTCGTACATTGCGCGAAGTTGATTATATCTGCAAGTATAGTTTGCACAGAACAAAAATAATTTCATGTTATTTAAGTTGAGCAAAGTATACACCTAATAATGAATGCCACTGGAACATGGTACTGGAGAAGTTAGATGGATAATAGTAAGGCATGCGTGTAACGTTTCAATTTTAATTTGCACGCTATGGTGCAATGACGTGGCACACGTTGCCTCGATATTGCACATGAGCGAGAAATCATTCAACTGGTATACCTTTGTAAACTACATGGCTCTCGGACATCTTTATTTTTATCACTCAGATAACTGAATTAACGCAGGATTGACGAATGCATTAGCGATAGGAGTCGAATGATACCGACGCGATATGCCCACATCTGTGAAAACCATTCGATTGGGTCATGCATGTTCAAATCCTTGACAAACTTGTCAACTTTGGTGTGCACGAAAACCTATCAGGAATTTAGTTTAACCTTAAGACGGAATACGGTTTGTAGAATTTATTTTAAACATACTAAGTGCAGGTTGCGGAGATTCCCAAGGTTCAGTGTTTGGGTCCGTTTTGTTTTTAAATATTATCAAAAAAGTTGCAAGCAACTTTTTCCGCCATGTCACAACCACATTCACCATCACAGATGATAGTCTGATTTATACACGCATAAACTCGCCTGATTACCAAGCTGAAGAGAGGGTCTAGCAGAACAATTTTGAATAGCACTCAGACATTTGCAATTTGCATATCCGTATCGTAACATAACATTGCATGTGCATTTTACTTGTTCAGCAGCATGTTACCTTGGAAGCGGGCTTTCATCGAGGTGCTACGACTATGGAGGAAGATAGTCATGGTGTCCGTACCGTTCCTCTTGCTGCCCCTGCTGCTAATCTCAGATTCGGTGGTGAGCGGTACCAATATTGCCCTATTCTACCCGGTTGTGAGGCCCCGAAACGTTTTCGCGGCAGTACATACCTATGCACTGTTCATCCTTAAGCTGACAGTGCGACGGGAGCAGCTAAGAGCTCTGTGTTCCTGTAAACGACCGCCTCTTCCATCTCCTAACCTCTCTCTGCGCTTAAGTTCGGGCGGGAGCGTAATCGCGTGGCGAAAGAGAAATTTATCGCTAGTCTTCCACTTTACTGTCAGGTTAGGACTGAACGGGATATATAGTCCAATGTCCGGTGGACAAAGAAAACTATCCAAGTCATAAATGCGTCTTTTTGCAGCATGTCTGCGCTTTTTGTTGTCCCCAGTAGATAATACCATGAAACTGACGCGTGTAATACCTTCTATTGGGGCGAATGAGAAACACAACAATCGTAACCACCCGAGTATGGGCAGCGTGCGAACAGACGGTTATTTACGAGACATAATGAAGGTCTAAGGATCGATGTTGTTTTACATTTTGCACTTGAACTTCACCGTCCGCTTTATTTTGAAACATTGTAACAGAAAGTCGATTACGAAGAACTCCCCTATCAATAATGGCGCGCGCCTTTCGTGGTGCTAATTCTCATCGTGTCGCCCAAAAAAAATGTCCCTACGGATGAAACTACACGTCCTCTCCTAACGTTCAGCATTCTCGTCCACAAATCCAACGTGCGAGTTTGAAATTCCGTGAACTCTATATACATCTACGTTAAAAACATACTTTAATCAACTGGACCAAGGTAGCAAATCTTCAATTTTCCTGTCTAGATAACACCTAGGCCCGAGCCTCCTTGTTCCGGAATCGCACGGCTCGTGTACATTGTAGAGAACTCACGGTGTTTCGCGGCCAAACATGATACAAATTACCCGCGGGCACGCGTTAGCCATGTTCGAGACATATCCGCTTCATGCACTCGGATGTTTCGATCACGCCTGCGGACAGTTTCCACGGGACCAATAGGCAACCTGCAGTGCTGTTTGGTTTGGCGCCATCTAGCGACTGAAACAAGAAATATTGGGTACCCCTGGGAGTGGCGGCTGCATTGTTCAAACATGACTATTTACTCTGGTGGCGCCGCTTAGCCTAGTGTCTGAAGCAAGAAATACTGGGTATCCCAAAAAGCCGTGATCGCGTAACGTGCCAGTAGAGCGGAAGCTACGGAACTGGCGGGCCAATCGGAACTTGACCGCGTATCACCGGAGCGCGCCTCAACTCCGGAGAAGTATCAGGCTTTTCGCTGCGTCATGCTCCAATATGTGTGCGTTGCGCTGGAATACGTCGCGCATTTCGAAGCCTTCGGCACGGAATGTGGGGCTTATCGTTCACCCTTTGCCAAGTTACAACGAGACAGGGTATAACCGTGCGCTCTCACGCTGCTGGCGCAGCCTGGCCGTTGCCGGTTGGCTATGGGACCGGGGCGTCAGACGGTATCGCATGCAGACACTCTTTTGTACAACGTAGTAGCAGTGTGACACTATCTGACAACAGGAACATGTGTGTGCGGGTTTCAGTGTTTTAATAGGGAGTTTTCGTAGACCGCGTTGGCCCCTCCGCTAAGCGTTCCGCAACGAAGAAGTTGCTACTGCGCCTGCGCGCCGATAGCCTTGACTGTGGAGTTCCCGCTATCGTAGCGGGTTGCGGAGGGCCTTTCGGGACGGCGAAAACGATCTATGAAAACTCCCTAATACATAAGGTACCGTATTTTCCGGACTGTAGTCCGCGGACTATACATGTTTGAAAGTTGAAAATTCACCCGATGCGGGCTACCCACAGGTGCGGACTATGCGATAATTTTTTTTCTAGATTGTTCTCTGCGACAAGTCCTGAAATCTTTTTTTATGAGTAACGGACTGTATTAATGTTGATTTATGCACGATAAAGCTTCTTTGCCAGCTAATACTGTAGGCATTTCTCAAGCTGGGCTGTGTCTGCCATTTGTTTTTTTACGTTTGAACTAGGCATTCAGTGCGGACAATGCACGGAGTGCGGATTATGTACCGGGTGCGGACTACCTAAGCAAGTACTTTTATTTTTGACCCAAAATTTGCCCCTGCGGACTATGCACCGGGTGCGGAATGTAGACCGGAAGATACGGTACGCGTGAGAATATTTATTCGCTGCGGTCACCGAAGGCTTTAGAAATTCGGGGCCAGGTTTATTAGGTTCGCATTTCTCGCTACTTGATTTCTCCTTTGGCGTAAACCAATCTGATCGGCTGAGGAACGACGATAACATGCTCAACATGCTCGCGCAAAGCCACCTCTATACTCATAAAGCCTGGCAGTTCCCATGACGAAGCCATAGAGTGCCCGGTCTCAGATTTGGAGCGTGAGGATCTGGTTGCACAGAGCATCAAAGAGCCAATTCTTGGGGAACCTAGACGTCAGCGCACAGCTTTTGCAGCGGCGAGGACCCGTAAAACACTTGTTCGCTAGGGATAAGTGTGTTTCGGCGTCTCGCCGTAGCGGGGCGCCAGTCACGTGGCTCTCCTGTCATCCGTTGTCTGCCGCTCCACCTTTTCCATTTCGGCGGCCGCTTCTCGTGGCGATCTGCCAGGCTTTGTCAGTATATAAGAGGCTATGTCTAGAGTTTTCAAAGTGTAACGTGCGCACCGGACTGCGGTACCATTCGACTTTAATGGACAGTACCTTGGAATGCCGGCAGAAATTCAGGTGCGCCTACGTGGTGGCCGTGATTGCCGTCTACTGGATCACGGAGCCGATCCCTCTCGGGGCCACGTCCCTCATCCCAATCGTGCTGTTTCCCATGCTGGGCGTACTCACCACCGAGAAGACATGCCAGCTTTACATGAACGTGAGTCCAGCAGAGCCGTAGTCAAAATGGCCGTCACGCGTGGTCTGTTCACAGGGAACAATAGAATGTCTAGAAAAGCGTAAAGATACTTGCGTCGCCAACTGCGTTCAACGGAAGCAAGCTCTCAGGGGAAAGCTGCGGGGCGCCTCAAATGAGCGCTTTTATTGCAGCAGAACGCAAACGCGTACGCAATCAGTTGCAGCGTTATCTATATGTGCGCATGCAAACTGCTTCGAGTAATCTAAGACCGGAACTCGATCAAGCTACAGTAGTCAAGCTAATCTGAGTCTCGCGCTGTCTGCGCGCCACGAGAGCAAGAAGACGGGAACGCAGAGAACCGCTGCGTAAGCACTGAAGTATCCATAGCGAGCCTACTTACGTAAAGCTCGCAGCGTTGCGTACGCATGGGTAATGCGCGGTGTGCAACATGCAACGCTAACCCACAAGCATAGTGTTTGCGTTTGCTCTTCTCTGTAATACCAAGGTACTCAGTGTCCCTTCCCCTCAAATGGCACACAGCGATAGCGTTCATCTGCGAACCTCTCACCTGTGCAATGGGCACCCGTCCTGTGACATTATCTGCTGTTTGGGGTGGTTCAATTAAACGAAGAAATGAGGGTTGAAGGTATATGTTCGGTACTTTGAATAAGAGAGAGCCTTTCTTCATATAGCGATCAGCTGGTAATTTAAGACGGCTTCTCGAGTATACAGTGCTCCTCAAAGTTAACCGCGCGCCACTCGGTCATTTAAGTATAATCTATTGCCGGCTACTTGGTCACAGCAGCAGCTGGACTGTCTTCACCAAACTTTGTTGTGATAGGGGAGTTAAAACTTCACCACGTTGTTGGATATGTTGTCCAGCAATATTACGAAACGTGAAAAAGTTTTATTTGTTTAGGTTAAATATGAAATATAAAATATGAAAAAGAAAATGCTGCGAGCTGTGCGATTTTTTAATTCCTTTTGCCTGTACCTTGGTGGTAGCAGTATGGAAACCCTAACACAACTCCACAAGAAGGAATATGTCACAACATGAAGATAAACAACAAATATAGCCGACCTCCTGTAGCCGTAAGAAAAGTTTGTTTTATTAAGTAGGCCAGTGTAGCTTACTGATACATGTCAAATGAGGAGCCACCTCCATGAGCGGCAACTTGATCGCGTTCCGGAGTTCTTTTCGCTGCTTGCCTTGACGGTACAGTATCGAAGTGCGGCATCAAGACACGCTCTATTTTGAATTATTTAACTAGACGTTTTGGAAAGGTTCGCCACGCAACGCCGTCCTATATAGTTGCGTCTTTCTTTGGTCACTGAATATGCACCTGAAGGCTTGAAGGGTCTCCCTGAACGCAGTGAAAAGAATGTAGTGAACGCAGTGAAAGGAACACAACCTTGGAAGTAATCTGTTTGTAATTAATCGTACAAAAACAATTTGCAATTTCTACGTTGCAGTTTCGCGGCAGTAACTTGCAATGTAGTTCAGTTACAAGATGTTTGCAACAACTGACATTATTAATTGTTACTTTTATAAAAAAATAATGAAGATAATGTGACGATTCAAGCTCTATGACAAGGGACTTGAAAAGCGTAAGAGCTGAAGAATACGAAATGAGTTATTATTTCAAGGAAAATAGATGTGCGCGCCAGAAACGCCCGGGGAAGAAACCATGCTATTTCTGTGCTTGTTTGTTCTGGGCGTGCGACGTGATGTGATCTTTATTAAGTACTCAAAAAGGGAAAAAAACTAAAAAAAGAAAACAGGCGTCGCTACAAGTGCACATGTACACGCCGCACATTGAATTGTTTGCAGTTATCGTATTACGCTATCCAGTACGTATTATCGCTCCCCGCACTCTAAAGAATCAGGAGCGCCTATTTTTTTTTTCCCAAGGCACTCAGGAGAGCCAATTGATGCAGACTACGAATGCAGTCCTGCGAATGACAAGGCTAGTTACACTATGCTTAAAGCTTAAAAAAAAAAGACTTCACAAAGGGATATATTATGACGTGTGACTATGTTAAATGTCACCTCGTAGTTTTTTTAGCTCTACACATATATTTGGTATTGTCAATCGCCGGGAGCTGCATCGTAAGATCGGAGTCTCAGACTCTTCAAAGTATTTTGCGAGTAAAGAAACCCTCCGGACTTTTTTAGAGTGTGTTGCCTATTGGCCGGCGTTATATATATATATATAACACTGAGAAGAAAAAAAACCTTAGTGAAAAACAGCAACAACGGACGATTTAATCTTCGACGTTTCGGCCGGAGTCCGGCCTTCGTCAGAATATATATATATATATATATATATATATATATATATATATATATATATATATATATATATATATATATATATTGTAGGGTTCGGTGCTACTGCTCACCCGCAAGAAGGACCAACGAGGCAGATCTCAGAACACACACCTTTACTTGTTCCTGGCAGCCAACTGACTCCCGAGCCCCGAGACTCGACCGTGGCTCGCGCGCACGTTGCTGGCCGGGCGCGGAGCGCGAGTTCTTTTGCGCGGTGGTGGGCCACAAGGACCACAAACTTCCCCCACCCCCCTCCCCACTCCCCTTCTCTGTTCCCTGGCTCCGTGGCTGTCCTCCCTGGGTGTTGGTGGTAGAAGAGGAGGGGGTTGTGACGATGCAGGCGGCCGGATGCGATTCGTGGAGGCCGCCTCCGGATTGGTGATGCGGTTGTTGTAGTTGCCAATGAAGTCCGGATCTGCATCTTGATGTCGGAGAACTGTGCGTTGTTTTGGTGACTCACTGCTCTCTGCTTGGCCAGGTGTTCCTCCATCTGCACCATGACACAGCCGTTCTTGTTCTTTAGTGATATTGACGACGTTGCCGTACGGGCAGAGCAGGTTGAAGAGCTTCTCGGTGTTCATCTTCTCAAAGTTAAACACCATCACCAGGGACCTCTGATGCTGGTCCGCCGCATAAGGACGAGTGGGCACGTCCGGAGCCGTCGCTGGTAACGTCGGGATCTGGTGGACCTTCGTAGCGGTCCTGGTCTCCATTTTTGTTTCCCGTAGCTGTCGTTGTAGCCGCTGCCGGGGCTGCTGATGTGGCGGCGTAGCTAGGGCCGGTAGAGGGTCCTCGGCCGCCCACTGCGTTGCCGTAGTCCCCGAAACCACGTGGCTCATCGAAGGGGTTGAGAGAACCTCCGGCAACGGTTGAGGCGGTAGCGAGACATGTCGAAGGTTCGAAAAGAACGAAAGAAAAAAAAAGAATCAACAGTTGTCTTCTGGAGAGGCTTTTACAAGAAAGCATCGGTACGTTGGGCGCGGCAATAGACTGGCTAAATTTGCGAGCACACTGTCGGTGTATATCGCACAGAACTACGCGCACAATCTGTATGGTGCGGAAACTAGTTCTCGTCAAAGCCTAATGCAACGCGCATTTTCTAAGTCTTCGTCTTCGTCTTCGTCACCAACATCAAAAAGAGTCCTCGCAGAATTAAGTTTATTTTTAATTATAACCCGGATCGGCATCACCCTCCATCTGCGAGAGAAGTTCGTCATCCGATTCATAATACCCTTTGAGGTTGGTGACATGAACGGGTCCAGCGAGTCGTCCAGACTCACAATGAACGAGCGTGTACGTGAGGCGTGAGACCTTGTCTCGCACTCGATACGGACCATCCCACCTGTTCGCCAGGGAAGCTGTGAAACCTCTGGCGGCGTCACTAAGTGGGCGTGTCCGCCGCAGTAGAAGATCTCCCACTTCGAATTGCACGTCCCGGTGGCCACGATTGTACTACTCAGTTTGCTGAAGCCGTGCGGCGTCCAAGCTCTCCCGGGCATCACGAGCGATGTCCCTGAGTCTGCGTCGTAGGCTTCCTCCAAGCTGACCGTATGAGCGAGCAGCGCCACGGTTGTTGGTCGTGCAAGTGTTTTCCAGCGGGAAAGTCAGCTCTTTTCCGAAATTAAGGCAAGCTGGCGTAAAACCTGTAGACCGGTTAACGGTTGTGCGGGTTGCGAACGCGAGCTCTGGGAGCTTTGCGTACCAGTCAGGGTGACGTTCGGTGTGAGCTATTAACATCGATTTCAGGTTTCGGTTCAACCGCTCTGTGATGTTTGCCTGTGGGTGATAAGGAGACGTCCGCTTGTGTTCTATGCCCAATGCGGCACATGAGTCTCGGAACACTTTGCTGGCAAAGTAAGTAGCGTTGTCGCTAATAAATCTCGACGGAAATCCGAAGCGTGTGAACGTCTCCATTAGACACGACCAGATTTTCTTGGACGTCAGCGATCGCAATGCAAATAGCTCCACCCACTTGCTAAAGTGATCCGTGACAACAAACACGTACTGGTTGCCACGCGGACTGCGTGGGAAAGGGCCCATGACGTCGACAGCAACGCATTCCCATGGGGATCGACTCACGACTGGCTGCATGTGACCAGGGCGCTGACCACCGCGCGGTTTGGCTTTCTGACAAACCGGGCATGAATGAGCGTACCTCAGCACGTCCTGACGAATTCCTGGCCAAGTCAGTACGGCTTAACTTTTCAAAAGACTTGCAGCCACTACTGTGACCAGCCAAAGCAGAGTCATGGTAGTTTCTAATGAAGGACGTGCGAAGTCGGCAAGGTACCACGGCTCGAAATGGAGTGTCTGTGGAGCCACCCTCCTCGTCGTCGATCTGAGGTATGTACCGGAGGAGCAGACCGTCTTCGGCCAGCAAGTACGAGTCAAAACCCATGTCAGCGTCTTTGTTGCCACGTCGGTCACGTGAAGATAACCACTCAGAGAGCCTGCGACAAAGTCCATCGTTCTGCTGTGCAGCACGAAGCTCGTCTCGGCTAATCAATGTACCCCAGCGCGAGCCAGCATCTATCGCAGCCACAACATTGGCATCCTCAGGCACGTGCTCTTCGCCGAGCGGAGCGCGCTACAAAGCGTCTGCAACTTTGTTTTGTGAGCCTGGTTTGTGCACAATGGTGTAGTGATATTTCTTAAGCGTTAGTGCCCAGTGTGCTAATCGTCCTGCCGG